TTTTTTTTTTTTTTTTTTTTAAGGATTTATTTATTTATTTATTTATTTGACAGCGAAATCACGAGTAGGCAGAGAGGCAGGCAGAGAGAGACGGGGAAGCAGGCTCCCCGCCAAGCAGAGCCCATTGCGGGCTTCGATCCCAGACCCTGGGATCATGACCCGAGCCGAAGGCAGAGGCTCAACCCACTAGCCATCTAGGCACCCCTACTATTCCATTCTTTATGGAGGTCCAGTCCCCTTGTGGAATACTGGAAAACTGCTCAGATTTCCTTTGCCCTATAGAAATATGCCCAGGCAAGAGAGCAAAAGTGTTAATTAACGTTGTTGGCTACCCAACTGGTTCATGATGATAAATGACTTTTGTTGTAGGAATTAAATGTGGCCATAACTACCAGAGTATATTCTGGGCCGTTTGGTTTGCTTTCTTGTTAATTAATGCACTTGATTGAGTATCTATGTAGTTTGTTTTACGAACATTTAACTACATCCTTGCTAGAGGAAAATAATTTAGGAGTGTAACAGATTTTAAAAAGAGCTGAGCCGTGGTTCTTTCAGATTCTAACTGGATTTTGGGTAGAATTATGTAATTTAATTATATTTCTTATTATGAAATGGGGTTATTATTTAACGAGTGATTAATGCGTTTTTTTAACATTTGCTCTCCAGCATCCTTTGCCTGGGTTCGTAGGTCCATTATAATCCCATCCCCCAGGTGTCTGGTTAGAATTTTAGGGATTCTGTGAAGTTGGATGGAGGAAAATATTTTTACTAATCTTTAACTGAAATTGAAACTTTCCATCTATTATGAAGGTAGGCAAGAAACCACACTGGCAGTGTTAGCAATAACTAACTAGACATAAATATTCCAAATATTATTGTCTTCATCACTAGACTCATTAGATCCTGTTATTTAATATGTTAAGTATCTATTACTGTGTAAAGTTTTGTTTAAAAATATTTCAGTAATTATATTTCAGTATAATTGGTTTCCTTTGAAGTCTCTCACAGTTCATTTTGTGTATTTAAGAACAGTATTCTGAGAGGGGTACCTGGCTGGCCCTATCAAGAGCATGTGACTCTTGATCTTGGGATTGTGAGTTCAAGCCCAACATTGGATGTAGAGCCTACTTAAAAAAAAAAAAAAAAGAAAGAAAGAAAAAGAAGATTTTTCTGAGAAAGAACCCATAGGCTTCAGTAGACTGTTGGAAAGTTCTGAGGCAAACAGGAAGGGTTAGGAAGCCCTTGGAGAGCTGTCGTTTTCACCTGAGGCTGCACATTAGAAACATCTAGGGAGTTTAAAAATGTTTATAGTGATAAAAAAGTAAAAGTAGTGATGGTACACCTTGTTCCTAGAGATTCTCATTTAATTGATTACATAGTGGGGCTTGAGCATCTTTAAAATCCCCTTAGCCCCAGGCGATTGTAAAGTGCTGCCAGGGTTGACAGTCACTAAAGGAGTGGCATATTTAGCAAGGAGACATTTATACTTCTTGCTGTGATTTTGCTGGTTGAATATTAGACACTATCTTTTGAGTTTTCTCTCTTCTTTTACAGATTGTGGTATACGTTACCTAATTTGGTAGGTTAATTTTCACCAGGTGGATCTTGAGTGTATAAGACCTCACATCAAACTGCTTTGAAACACTAGTTGTTAGCATTGATTAACTAAAGCAATTCAAGTATAGCTTAGCTCTTTTTTAGGTCCTGATTTAAAGTTCCTGTATCACACTTCTTATTTCATCATTAACATTTCATACTTGGTATCTTATAAACTAAGATCCTGGTTTTATTTTAAAATATTTTCTTAAGTTTGTTTTTTTAAGAAGTAAGTAAACTATTTGAAAGGAGAATACTTTAATTTTGTTGCATCCCAAAGTGTCCCTTCAAGAATGTGTGGCACATACTAGGCACTGAGCAAATATTTCTTGGGTGAATAAAAATTAAAACAGTAGAAGAGTATATACATTGTAAAGGGAGTGTTTCCATGAGTCTGCCTCTGTCTCTTCCCAGCTCATCTTCCAGTTTGTTTGTTTTTTTACACCCAGTATTACGGAGATAGTTCCATGTTGCTGTCTATAGACCTTCCGTGCTCTGTTCTTTTTCGTGATTATAAATTCCTCAATTTATTTAGTCCGTTCTTTTATATGTGATTATTTTAATTATTTTTAGTTTTATGCAACAGCAAACAGCCGAGTAGTAGTTCTTCAGTATACACCTTTGTGCATGTGTACAGTGGAAGTTGCCAAAGGTGGAATTCAGGGTCAACGTTCATGTTAAATTTTGATCACATTACTATTTGCCCCTGCCAACAGTGTGAGAATGTCTTGCCAGTGTAACGTTGATTATAAAACACTTTGGATCTCTGTCTTATGGCTTACATTTCTATTTCTTTTTCTATGAACTCTTCCAGTACATTGCCCATTTTGTGAGTTGCTGATCTTTTATTGACTGTACATGAATAAATTTAGTACTCTGCCAAATATGTTGGCTATTTTTTAGGTTTGTCTTTTGACTTTGATAATTTTTCATGCACAATTTAAACCGAATTAAGTGTACTCTCTTCAAAGGCTTCTGAAAAGCCTTAGATCCACTTCATTATGTTTTCCTCTAGTTCTTTTTTGTTATTAGTGTTTAAATCTCTGACCCATGTGAAATTTACTTCGGTAGAAAGGGTTAAATAGGAATTCAACCTTATTTTGATAAAGTTGACTGTAGTTATTCTGATAGATGGTTATACAGTTATTCTAACCCTGTGCTTTGAATAAGCCACTATTCTGTTTTGAAATATCACCTTTATTTGTTCATTTTCCATATATCATTCTCTTTTTCAACTGTCGTGAACCAGTGATTCATGAACCATTACCACACCATTTTGCCATGTCATTTTGTGTTTTAATGTGTGGTTGGGACCAATAGTCCTCCTTTATTAAACTTTTCCAGTTTTAGTTTCTTGAGCTAGCCTACTTATAGAGCTCTTATATATTAGTAAATACGAGTTTCATACAAAATTACCTTTTTAAAAAAAGATTTATTTATTTATTTGTCTGACAGACAGAGATCACAAGTAGGTGGAGAGGCAGGCAGAGAGAGAGGAGGAAGCAGGCTCCCTGCTGAGCAGAGCACCTGATGCGATCCCAGGACCCTGGGATCATGACCTGAGCCGAAGGCAGAGGCTTTAACCCACTGAGCCACCCAGGCACCCCTACATTGGTCTTTTAAAACGTGTTTTTCTTTCTAAATAAAATGTATACTTATCAGTGGTAGACACTAATTTATTCCAAAGAAGAGTGTACTACTTCCAGGTATATTTTTTTCCCTAAACCCACGACTAAAGTTTCTTCCCATCTGGGGTTTTGACATTTTTCTTTGTTCTTTTTTTTTTTTTTTTTTTAGGATTTTTTTAATTTATTGATTTGATAGAGACAGTGAGAGAGGGAACACAGCAGGGGGAGTGGGACAGGGAGAAGCAGGCTTCCCGCTGGGCAGGGAGCCTGAGGCGTGGGGCTTCATCCAGGACCCGCCCCGCAGGATCTTGACCTGAGGGAAAGGCAGACATGTTAATGACTGGGCCACCCAGGTGCCCCTTGACATTATGTTTCTATGAGTTGTTAATTGCCACTGAAAAAAATAAAGCTGTTAGGGGCAGTGTTTCCCTCTCTGTCTCCTCTTAAATATTATTCTGTATTGCCATATAGATTTCAAGAAGTCCTGTAAAAAGACAAAACACAACTTTAAAAATTAACATTTATCTGACTTAGTTGAATATCACTTTTTTTTTCCTGGCACATAGTGGTACTTTTTTTTTTTTAAGATTTTATTTATTTATTTGACAGAGAGACAGCCAGAGAGTGAACACGAGCAAGGGAGTGGGGGAGGGAGAAGCAGGCTTCCCACTGAGCAGGGAGCCCTGTGGGGGAGCTCAATCTCAGGACCCTGGGATCATGACTTAAGCTGAAGACAGATGCTTAATGACTGAGCCACCCAGGTGGTATTCTGAACAACAATTTGAGTAGTACTTATATTTTTGCCTCAGGTGCTGGCTATTTTAGGCATTACTCTTTTTTTAGATTATATTTTTATAATAAAAATGAAACTGTTACCCACATGTGACCACTAAACATTTTAGTACAAAATATAATACTGCAAATTCCTTTTTAATAGTTTTAATGATGCTGTATGTACAATTTGTGAATCATGTTTTGAAAACCTTTACATCAAAATACAATTTCCATGTCATTTCATGCTTTTTCTTTTGTGGCTCAGGATGAATGCTCTATAGCAGTGTTTCTCAAAATTGGTCCAGGGACCTGGGAGGTTCCTAAGACTTTCAGAGGATCTGTGAGTTCATAGTTTCATAGTAAATTTTAGATAATTATTTCTACCCTTTCACTCTTAATCTCTTATGAGAGTACAGTGGAATTTTTACATGATGTGATATCACAGAAGATTGAATGCAGAAGCAGAAAAATCCAGCTACCTACCTTTAAAAAAATCAGACACTAAACAGATTTGCAAATATATAAAATAGGATATTCTCACTGAATTTTTAAATTTATTTTGCATAAAAGCATTATGTTAACATGTAAATAATTTTTTATTGTACATGCATAAATATTTAACATTTTTGTTAGTTTTAATTTCTGATGTAGTAAATATTGAAGTAATCACATAGACAAAAGCTCTTCGGCATACTCAGAAATTTTTAAGAGTATAAAGGGGGTCCTGAGACCACAGTGTTTGAGAATGGCTGCTTTATGTTTATGTAAAAGATGGGTTTGCTTAAATTTAATAATGGCTTTAAAAGTACATGATCACTGAATTTTGTTTTTATGCAGGTGACTTACGATAGCATAGTATATATAGATTGTAGAAAATGCCGGCCTCTTTTGTAAAAGGACATTTTTATGCTTTGTACTGGGGACTGATAACTGTGCTTGGATTAAATTAGGCATGAAACTTTTAAAACAGTAACATCAGTTCCTTATTTTTCTTTCCTCCAGGCAGCTGAGTATGTCCCAGAGAAGGTGAAGAAAGCGGAAAAGAAATTAGAAGAGAATCCATATGACCTTGACGCTTGGAGCATTCTCATTCGAGAGGCACAGGTTTAGTGATATAGGATTACATTTCCTTCTCTATGGGTCCAATCACACTACTTGGTTCTGCAGTAAATAATATTTTCATAATCTTAACATTGTAAATGCTGTTTATTGGTTTTCAATTTTAGAATCAACCTATAGACAAAGCACGGAAGACTTATGAACGCCTTGTTGCCCAGTTCCCCAGTTCTGGCAGATTCTGGAAACTATACATTGAAGCAGAGGTTAATATTTTATTTTATTTTTTCTTATATAGCATCTGATGGGAATTGCAGCATACACTAGAGTGATAGAAAACAAGTTAGGAACATAGATGGCACAACTAGGACAAGGAGGATTTAAATGTCTCTTGCCTTTATTTTGTAAAATAGGTTTGAAGGAGTAATTAAAATGAATTTTTGAATTTTGGGTCTTTACAAGCTGATGATTGTTGCATTTTGGAGTTGCAACAACATTAAAACAGTTTCAATGGTATTGGAGTGCTTTAGCCTTTTATTTACTTGTCATGTGTCAATTTATTGCCTCCTGTGTCATTTATTTAGAACTCATTTCTTTTTATTCCTACTTACAAACTAATATGAATGGTATTATGAGAAAATACAGAAATATTAATTTAGTTTCATAGGGTATATTGAGTGGTGAAATGAAACAGGTGAAAAATTATCTCAGGTTTTTGTGAAAATGCATGGTTTATCAATAAATGTAAGCATTTCGGTAATTTGAAGATAAGGTTTTTTAATAGGATAAAGTTTACATTATTCAGGAATAAGCTAATGTGATTCAAATATGTTTAATCATAATTTACCCAGTGATACTTCTTTCTTTTTCTTGCTTTCTAACTGTCTTAAAATTTTACATCAGGCATGTTTATTTTAAAGAGTAAGGTCCTCATTCTTGATTATGATTAGAAGGGAAATGTTCATTTTTGACAACTGGAATTAGCAGTCAAGATGATAATAAAGCGTTAATGTATTGATACCAGGGGCACCAAGTAATCATCTTTCAGGTTATAATTTATTGGGATGGAAGGGGTGAGATGGGAGTGGTATCCACATTACAGTGAAAATTCTATCCATTTCTCTTTATAACTTATACTATGAAGTATTCTTATTTTGAATGTTAATTTTGTAATCTAAATTCTCAACATTATCAAATACACTGCAGCCTCATAACATTTTTCCATAATGACTAAAGTTTGGTAATATATGGGTCTGTTTTGGACCTATTCAGAGCGCGTTAGTCACCAGTAGTACTAAACAGACTTCGCAACACAGTGCCACCTGTGATGTGCTTCTCATAATGGACCCAACCAACACCCAGTTTAAACTGAGGCTACAGTGTACTTACTCTATTTGTGCTGTAGTTTATAGTGTATTACTTTGGAAGTGGGAGGGAATTACTGGACAATAGCAGGAACATTGCGTGTGTGTGTGTGTGTGTGTGTGTGTGTGTTAAATTTTTGTGTGATTGTGTATGTGGTGTGTGTGTTTGTATGTGTGAGAGATTGTACCTTACATGGAGTTTGGTTGTGGTTTTGGCCCAAGACCATATCCTTAAGGTTTCATCACTTATCCTTTGGGACCATTTCTTTCCTTAATATATTTAATCATCAGAGTAGACTGGCGTGGAATTCACCAGGTGAGTGAGTAGGCCTGTCTGAAGTATGCTGAACCCAGTGCTGCTTTGTAATACTCATTAAAGCAAGGAACCTGGATCACCTGTACTTGGTCTGCATTCCAGTTTGATTTCACAGACACATTAGTTTATATGCAAACTCATCAGAAATGAACATAATTGATACATAATAGTTTTTGTATAATGAAACAGTACTTCCTTTAGTTTTAGAAATTTCTCAAATGTTCAAGTATTTATTCATGTATTTTATTATAGCATACGTTAAACTGAAATAGGCAGTTAGATAATCCATTCTGTGAGTATGAACACAGTATGTTTCTCCCATTTCCTAGCTAAAATACCAACTGCATTCTAAAAAATAATCCCAAGACCAGATATTATTTCAGGGGGCTGAAAATTGTCTACATAACAAGCTCATTCCATTTACTGTTTCAGAGGTGCTAGCAGTTGCCCAATTTATTTAATTGGTAATATTTGCAGTTATTTCACACACATATACACAAATATGAATGTATGTATAAAACATCTTTTGAGAAAAATGGTGAAGAATATATATTAATGTGTGTTTTGTAAAGTTGACATTTTTGGTTTAGGAATTAAAATGTTAAATTGCTGATTCATAAATGCATATCCTGAGCTGTGTTTTTCTCTTTCCTGATTTGCTCTTTATTTTTTTATTTTCACATTTTGTACTTTGTTTAGCCTGTAAGAGGCTAAAATTTTCTTTGGTCATAACACCCATTGTGGCCTTTAATGTTTCTGGAGACACATGACCTATTTATAAAACAGTAAAATCTGAAGTAATAAGAAATGTTTTCACATTAAAGGTAATACTAACAGCGTTTACATAACATCTTTGTATGCACTCTCAAGAAAATAAAGTTTTTTTAATACATTTGTTGTTAACTCGGTACTTCGTGGCGGGAAAAATATGTTTCATTTATTTATGGTCAGCCAAACCACTGCATATGAGTCCTAATACATTTAGTTCTTTTCAAATGAAAATACATACATCACTGATAACGAGATAATTTTGCTTCTGCAAAGAAATTTGTAAATCTTAAGAACAAAGTAGCAAAAAGTGGTTTTTTGGGTTTTTTGCTTTTAAATTTGAAACCTCAGCATCAGTTGCAAATGAGAGTATAATATAAATAATTTTTAGTGAAGAAGCTAATGACACTAATCTGGTATTTTTCATATTTGCCAGTGTATCAGCTTTTCTCTTCAGTGGCATCTGCAGTACCTAGCTACTTGTGTAAAATTAAAAGGATAGCTCATTACCTACTTTTAGTTTTTTTGCTAAAGCATAGAAATTGTTGGAGATAAAATTCTCTGTTGTCTAATGAAAGGACATTTAGGACCAACATCGATGTACTTATTATAATTACATAAATTCAGAATTAGACCAGATTACTTTCGTGTTTCATATGTTAATTGTATAGAAACATCAGATATAAGTGGAATACCCAGTCAGAGCATCAGTGCTTTTTGGAGTAGTCAGAAGGGTTACTAAATTTCACAAAATTGAGAACATTTATGGTTTTGCCATATTCTTTTTGAAGTTCTTTTTTCCCCTTGTGGTTTCTGTAGCTTTTCATGTAGCTAGGTAATCAGTGCGACTACATGTAAGATACAATATTTTACTGGTAGAAGTAATTTGTTTTGAATTGGGCCACATTCATAAGAAATTTTCCTACAAAAGGGTGATGATTTTTATTCGTAGCTGGAGGAGAAATGAAGAAGGTAATGCTGTTGGTAATAGCAACAATGTATTTTGCTATCTGTGAAAGCTGTAATTCTTTAATAAAAGTATGTAGAGAATTGATTGCTTTTTATTTAAAAGATTTTAAAAACTGAATCCTTATAAAATGGGTTGTAAAGTATACCTTTCAGTTTTTCAAAATAACCTTTCTACTTGGGAAAAAATGACTCTTAAAAATACCTTTCCTCTTGGAAAATGGAAGTGAACTCAGCATGGAACATGAGTGACCTAAATTGAAATAAACTTCTCCACTGTCAATACTGTTTTAATTCCTCTAAGTAGCAGTTCAAACTACTGTTAAAATGTTCTGTATATCCTGAGCAATGTGATTTTTTAAATGCAGATAAAATTATTGCATTATCATATAGATTATAATTTCTTTTCTATACTTGAGCTTGCAATCTCTTTTAAAAAACCTGTACTCTTTTCTTATAGATCTGCTCTTTTCCTGTTTGTAATAAATGTTGGTCCATGTCTGTGTGATTATTCAGATTGTACTCTAAACCACAACGTGATCTTTAACCTTTAGTTTCTCAAATGCATGTATAAATGTAGTGTAGGGGTGTAAAAAAAAACAGGAATGATTTGCAAACACAGAACTGAGTAATCATATATCTGAAAGTGCTTTGACTAATTACATACTATTTTTAAAACAAGATATTTGTGTGTTTACTATTAAAAGTAGCAAACTTTTATTTCGGGTTTTATTGAACTACCTCGTCCATATTCCCTTCCATTATTGTAGCATAGATGTTTAGGTTTCTCACTGATACTAACTTGATCTATACATTTTTCTTTTCCCCTTGAGGCCTTTTCTCTTTACCCAGGCAATGTATAATAAAACTACTTCGCAGAAAGATATAGTTAATTTAGATAATATTTCTTTTCTTAAAAATCTTACTTTCTATTCTTTATCTTCTAGATAGTTTAGTGTCTTATATGAAATGTAGTGATTTATTTTCAAGCAAAACCTTGTACTAATCAACCTAATAGGTTATATATTTCTATTTCTCCACTTCATAAAGCAAAATTATAATCTTTGCAGTCACCGATAAACATTGAAAAGGCAGTGCTCCATCTTTTTTCCTCTGGAAAAGACTCAAATTTTTAACCCAGCTTCTTTATATTCTACTTTATTTTGTGTAATAAGATTTATGGTATATTTTGAAAATGTGGAAAAGGCATCTCTAATCAGATTTTAATAAAAAGCACACATACTCTAAAATTTATGGAACAAAAAGGGCCATTTGGGCAATGCAGTTGTAGTTTCCCTGTGGATAATGCTCTAGCCTAAATTTCTTGGGCATTTGTGGAATAACAATACTTAATGTATAATACCTAATAGTGTTAATTTTTTTTCAAGTGTGGGGCATCATACAAGATCTTAGGGGACTATTTTGGTATATGACCCACTTCCCCTATTCCAAGAGGTATTAATTAAAATTATGCTGCATCATGGCATCCATGAATAAACACACATAAGCCCTTTCTAATATTATAGAGTAAAATCTCCATAATTGGAAATACAACTAATCCAAACAGAAAAGCCTTTTGAGGGTGCTCTGCATTTTTGGTTCTAACTTGAGCATAAGGAAACCAGGTGGCAATTAATTGACTTTCTCTTAAAAAACAAGCAAAAAGACCCCTTGAAGTCAAAGGCTCAAATATTTTCTAATGGGTTCATTGTTTTTGTTTGTTTAGTTTGTGCTTTCAACTTGCAAACAGCTCTTCCTTTTTGAATGAGTCTGGTTCAAGGCACTTCCAAGAACTGAAGATTTCTAAAATATACTGGTGATGTCTATTAAAAGCTGTATTTTGAAATGTGGA